TTTAGAACTTTTGGAAATCGAGTAGTAACATATAGATTTGCTAAAGAATAAGCCACCTAATCACCATTCCAAAGTATGCTTCAAAACCTCCATAAACTTCACATTCTTCCCTTAGATTAACACCAAACCCTAGAGGATTTCACACACTTTCACACTCACTCTAGAAGATTTTGGCTGCAAATGGAATGATTTTCCTAGATTTTAGGGTTAAGCCTCTTTAAATGCTTGACAACTTTCATTTTTGGCCCCTAAAGTGTGAGAAAACAGCTCCAAAACCCATGTATAGGATCGAGAATCATTTCCTTGCACATTGGCCCCTAAAAGTTATCTTTAACCAACCAAAGAGGTAACTTAATGATGAAACATAACAAAACTACCGTTAGTGACGGAAATGAAAATTCAGGTCGTTACAACCACCAACTTCGCTGCCACCACTACCTCCATCTCTGCCACCACTCCACCGCCACCCTTAAAAGTTATTTTTAACCAATCAAATAAAGTTTTATATCTTAATTTTTAAATATCTAATGTTATAATATTTATATAGTTAGGTTTTAAGTTATTATTAGGCGAATACCGGTGTATATTGTGCATAATAAACTATATAGTTAGTTTTTTATATAGATATTGAAATTAATAAAACATTAACTATAAAATAATAACACTTACACTAATTTGATATATAAACTTGTAATTTGTTTGAACCATATTAAAAATATGCATCTTTTAAAATCATAATATTCAATAATATCTACTTTTCATTTGCGTTTAAATAAAGCTAAGCATGGTTTTTGATTTAGTATTTCAATTTAATGTTATTATTCATTAATTTAGAAATTAATTATATACTGATTTTTTTTTGGATTAGTATGGTTATGATATATGAACAATTGTTTCTAAGATAACACAATGCAATTTTTTCTTTTCATTAATTAAAAATCACTTAATTAAAAAAATGATCGAAAATAAATTTTTTTTTGATATTTTTTATTTAATTTGATTTGTTGTTCTACATGTACAATATATAAACTTTTTTAACTATTTTTGAAAAATAGTATTCAAATATATTTTTGAGGTTTATTTTATATTTTGATTTATTATTTGAAGTTACATAATTTTTAAATTAACAAATAAATTTATTATAATAACCATTTCAAAAGTCTTCTAATAATAATTTAATATTTTGCATTGAATAACATATTTTAAATTAATAGATTAATTGTAACATCGTGTTTCAAAAAGTTCTTATTTTAGGATTGTGGACAATAAATGAATCAAATGTAGGCTTTGGGATTCAATGGAATGACGTTTAGACTCTATTAGAGGTGTATGATATTGGGCAAATGATTTAAACCTTGGATTGTTCGATGAAAGTTGAAGGGTAAAATAGGAAAGGTTATGTGTTTGGGCTTCTTGTTTAAATTAAGGATTTTAGTTCGAGATGTTTCTAGTCATAAGTATCAAGATAGAAATGTAGAGATCTTCATTACCTTTCCATGGATATAAAGATCATTGAAAACGGAGCTGAAACTAAGAAGTTATGGTTGTTTGAATTTAAGCTGGAAAAAGGAGTCTGGTACGTTGGACGTACACTAGCCAGTACGTTGGGCATACTACGTTGAAGGAAGTCACGGTTTTAGGGTCTTATGATTGGCGTAACTCTAGGTACGGTGGGCCTACCGTTGCAATGTAAAACCCTATTTTCCTGGTTTTGAGCCCTATTTAAGGACTCTAACCCCTTAGGGTCCTTCTTGACATCAACTTCCACCCCTCTTGAGCCTCCAACTCACAACCCTAGACCCCTAGATCAAATATTGAGCCTTTCTGTGTGTTTTAAGTGCATTTTGGATGAAGAGAAGTTCAATATTGTTGATTGTTGAAGCTCAAACTTCTGGATCCAAAGCCTACATTGCTTTTCTCAATTCCAGAAGGTATAAAGCTTGAATCTTGATGATGCATTTGTTTGATCTAGCTAGTTTTGGGTTTTATGAGGTCTTTGGTCACTTTAGTGCATAAAGTTTAGATCTTGAAAGTTTGTGAACTTGTTATAGATAAAGTTGGAAACTTTATCCATTTAAACATCATTTTGATTCAGATCTTAAGGTTTGAGACTTACACTTAACGGATTAAGTTGAGAAAGATGTATTTTTGGTCCTTTTGAGACTTAAAGACTAGATCTTGGTTGTTTGGAGCATCCTAATGGATAAAGTAGAAACATTTATCCATTATGGAGGTATTACGAGTCATAAAAATATGATCTCGGTCCTTTCCCTTTCTTCATGCATGAGATATGATGTTTTGGTTTGTGTAATAAGTTAGGGTTTAGTTGTTGGACCGTTTCTAGCCTTAGAAAGTCATAAGGTTGGAAACTTTATGACTTAGAACGTCATTTTGGAACTAGATATGGGTTTTGGACGAAGTGTGTTAATAGATTAAGCACTTAATAGAAAGAAAAAGGTGGAAGTCGAGTAGGTTGTGCGTACCTGGTTTGGACCCTATTTTCTGGCAAAGAGAAATGCACTACGTTGGGCGTATTAGCTGAGTACGTCGAGTGTACTCAACCTAAGTTGACTCGTTGACTTTTTGACTTTTGATCAAGTTTGACCTAAGAGCATTTTGGGTAATGTGATATATTGTTCGAGATTTGGGTCCCTGTTGATTGTATAGGTGACCGGCAGTGATAACTTTTGGAACAGTGGTCAGTGCAGCTATTCTTTCAGAATGTGAGGTCAGTCTCCTCATTGTATCCGTGGGTCGAAGGCACCAATGCCGACCCATTATTTTGTTAGGTAGAATGCTACCTGCCATGTGACTTTTATATAGGTTTGTGTAATCGGGTTGAAATAAACCCTAGGATGAGTTCCATTATTGTATGATCTGGTTGAAATAAAACATAGTGCGAGCCCATTATTGTATGATCGGGTTAAAATAAATCACAGGACAAGGCCCACTATTATATGATCGGGTTGAGATAAACTTCAGTGTGAGGTTCATTATGGTATGATCGAGTTGAAATAAACCTCAAGGATAGGGCCCATTATTGTACGATCGGGTTGAAATAAACCCCAGTGCTAAGCCCATATTTGTTTATTGGATTGGAGTATACCCTATGGATAGGCCCAGTTGTATGTTTAGTATGTGGTATTTTGGGGAAACTTATTAAGCTTTGTGCTTACAACTTAGTTTATGGTTTTAGGTATCTTTGTTTTCAAAAGGAATGATCCGACTTAATGGCACTGCATCCCCTAGAGTTTTATTCCACACCGAATGTTTACAAATTATTTGGTGTTTTGAAATTACTATGAATCTGATCTCTTTTTGGAACATTGAATGAATCGTTTAAAAATAAAAATTTTACTTAGTATTTTTAGGATGTTACATTAATTATATTGAATTGCAAATTGAGGTTTTAAATACATATAGTGATATGAAAGATGCTTCCTAATGTACTATGATATGATGTTTTTTTTTTCAATTTTTTGATATAATAGCTATATAAACATCAATAAATTGGTTATATGAAAAATAGCTTCTATATAAGTTTATGATTTTTATTAAATATAATATAAATAAATTTATGATACAACAAAAACAATATATGAGGTATCTATTGTTAAAAATAAAGGATGATTGGGGTTTCAATATCCTGATGAAACAAACCATTGATCAACGTCCTAAACAATGAAAAACATAGTTTTTGTTTTTATTAATTGAAAATGAGTTCTCCGTCATTATGTGCATGGTGACTTAAATACTAACTTATATTAGGGATGAGTAGTTAGTACCAAATCCTAATTTCATACAAGAGTCATACCAGAACCGATACTGAATCTAACTGAATTTAAAAATATGTGACGGTACTCGATACTCTAAATCACTAAGTAGTTTGTATCGATGCTAGTACTAAAAACCGGTAACATTCCGGGTATAGATACCGATAATGTTAATTCTGTTCGGTATTTGGGATTGAATTTAAATCACATTCGGGTTTCGAAAAAATGAAAACCTCACGCTCATTGGTTGTTTATATACATTTGGGTAAAAATGTAAAAAGTAAAAACTACAAATTTAAATATAAAGAACAAATTACTAAAATTGTCTCTGTGGTTTGGTGAAATTATAAGTTTGATCCCTAACTTTTTTTTGCACTCTAACAATCCTTATTGTTTAAATTTGTTACATTTTTTATCCCTTACAAACATAAAAAGACTTAATTGCCCTTTATTATTATTATTATTATTATTATTATTATTATTATTATTATTTATTGTTCCTAAATCTCACTCACAATAACACTTGGGACCCACTCCTAATCTCACTCACACCACTAACACTACCACAACCACTCACCAATAACCATCAGTCATCGGCAACATAATGAAATCTAAAATGAACACGAGTTTTTGGTGCGATCGCCTGAGAATGGAGACAGTTCAATTTTATTAAAATAATTTCATTACCTCCTGAGGTATTATAAAATCAGATCACGATATGGTTATAGTATGCTATTTAAAATAAATATATTAAGATTTATTTAGTAGATTTTATCTCACGTATATACATTTCAAAATTAATATTCATAAAAAAAAACCACCACTAGTCACCATTAACTACCACCATACTTCTAAAATCAATTCCAAAAAAAAAACTCCAATTCCACCATAATAACCACCTAAGAAACCTAAAATACAACCTACAACCACCACATCCACGTGAGAAAAATTTGACATTGACAACCATCGCCAAGACCACCTCATTGGTTCTAATACCGACATAAAATCCCATATCTAAAGATAGAAGAAGAAAAAATCATAGAAGATGGTGGGAAGGTGGATCTACCCGCGGGGGCGAGGAGTCGGATCTAAAGATGATGTGGAAGATAACGGAGAGAGTAGCATCTCATGTAACGTCTCCAACAAACAAATCTAAAGATGATGAAGAAGTAGATATGGAAAGACAGCAAGAACAAATAAACAAAACTAACAAAAGTTTTGATTCACATGATCGTTTCCTTCAGCTTCCCCGACGGTGACCAGAGATTTTCATCGGAGATGGTAGTGGAGAGGCGGTTCAAGCATCAACAAATAGGTGGGCAATGGTGGTTCAGGAAGAGGAAAGATAAAAGGGATGTGGTTTCGACACTCGTAGGTGGCTTTCGGCATTTGTAGGTGGTTTCCGATAGTGGTGGTTGGTTTCCGACGAAAGTTAGTAACATGGTAGCTAGTGTTTGGTTTTCCACGATGACCGAGAGAGTGTATGTGTGTGTGTGTGAGAGAGAGAGAAAGAGAATATATGGTTTAAAGGGGGGGGGGGGTAGGGGATGTGGTGTGTGTATATATATATATATATATATATATATATATATATATATATATTAAATCACAATAAACAAATAATAATAATATAAAGGACAATTAAGTCTTTTTATTCGTGTAAGAATCAAAAAGATAACAAATTCAAACTCTAAGAAAGGTTGGAGTGCAAAAAGGATTTTTGGGGTGTTTGTTTTATCTTTTAAACCAACTTTTAACCTTTATCTTTTCCTAAAAGTTAAAAAGGAACCAAAAGATGTTTGACAAAGGAAAAAGATCTTTTAACAACAACTTTTCAAAAAGAAGGAAAATGAGCATTTTGAAAAGTCACGGGAACGTGATTTTTTTAACTTTTAAACCCCTTAAAACTGAAATTACCTTTATACCCCCAACCACCTTAATCCCAACTACCCTAATCAATTGAAATTGAAGATACGTTCTTCTCTTCTCCTGTTCTTGTTTTGTCTGCTTCCGTTCTTCGCTCTCGTTTCATCGATCTCAAATCAGACGGTGATCTTCTCCAAGTCGACAATCTACCTCCAATCTGACAATCTTCTCTGTCGGTGTCTCTCCTTCTCCGACCAGGTAAGTGCAAAGTCAGATTTTGGTTTTGTTTGTCTTGATTTTCGATTTTCATTAGCAAACAAAATGTCACCTTTCGATTTTCCTTGCACTGCATCTGATTTGTTACTTTGATTTTGATTTTCCATTCGCTGCATGTCATTTGTTCCTTCAATTTGTTCCTTGTATGGATATGTGTTGACTGTAAAATGTTGAATATTGTGTTATCAGTCATAGATTTGTGAAATTGATGATTTATTGAATACTTATTAGTGAAATTGATGAAAGTTGGATGATATTGATTAAATTGATGAAATTTTTTGTTCACAGGTACCGATTTGTGTTGTTAACAGGTACCCATTTGTGAAAATTATTCCAATAAATAATAATAATAATAATAATAATAATAATAATAATAATAATAATAATAATAATAATACATTTAAATTCCCTAGGTGAAACAATTATTTAATTAGTTAAAATTTAGTAAGATTCAAGCAACTTCTTAATCTTAACCCACATAATCAATCTCTCCTTAAGTATTTAAATGACAAAGTTAATGTCATAAAATGGCTACTAACAGAGTTTAGTCTTTAACCAAATCTTTCTAATGACATCAAATTAAATGAATATAAATGTGAAGAGGCATGTTTTGTGATGTGGTAAAACCAATGAAATCTAATTTTGTAAAATATTTTTAACAAAATGTGATGTTATTTCTTGTGTTGCCGCAATAAACCAGTTGAAGCTTTACATGAAAATAAATTTTATAATTTGAGTTTACTAAAAAAAACAACCTTAATTTTGTGCATTTGAATGTTGCCACAAATGCACAAATTAGATTGAACTGTGTATTTACAAAGCTATTTTATCCAACAAAATGTGGTTCAATTAATATTATGGTAGAATAAATGTTTGAGAAAGAATTGTTGTTCTATTTTTTATGTTTTAATTAATGAAAGATTGATTAGCAAATGTTTAAATTGATGAAATCATTTAAGAAGGTTAATGAAATTGGTTTGTTGTTTAAATGTTGATATGTAATTCACATATAATGGACGAAAACCTCACCACTGTTGTTGATTGTGAAACATCTTTAAAAATGAAAAAACCAAAATTTGAATGGGATAATCGTAGCTTCATGGTTTTTGTTGATTCATGCTTGATTGAACTAAGAAAAGGCCATAAAACCGATACTCGCTTTAATAAAGTTGGGTGGGAGAATATACAAAAACACATTAAGGAGAAAATAGGTTATAGCCTTGAAAAAAACAACTAACAAACAAATGGGAGAACATGAACAAAGAGTGAAAGCTTTATGACCGATTGATGAGGCTTGAAACTAGACTCGGTGGGACGAGAAGCCTAATAGACTTGGTGGGACGAGAAGCCTAATAGATGCATCGCCTGAGTGGTGGGAGGAGAAAATAAAGGTATGATTTACTATTCTTTGTAATTATTTTGAGTTATGATTGCATATAGATTGAGCATATTTGATTTATATTATCTTTTTGTCTTGCAAGAGAAAAAAGATTATGCATAATTTAGTAATGTAGATTTGAGCATATTTGATGAGAAATATGCTCTTTTGTTTCGGGATTCAATTGCCATTGGAGATCATATTATGACTCCATTACAGTTTCAAAACAATACCAATCCAAACGAAGAAAATGTGGAGGGCAAAGGAGATAGTGATGATATCAATTTAGATGATGATGTGGAGCCTCTTTTTCCTGGTTTCCATGAAAGTAGTTCGAGTAATAAGAAAAGGTCTAAGCTTGTTTCCAACAACCGTTCAACCAAGAATAAAAGTTCAATTTATGAAGAAAAAGTAGATGCTTTATTGGATGCCATATCAATAAAGAGCACACAAACTTATCCACAAAATAATCCTTCCCCAACAATAGCAGATTGCATGGCTATTGTTACAAAGTTTACCAAATTTCATGAAGGGTCCAACGGATTTTCACAAGCATTGTTTGTGTTCACCAAAAATCAAAATCATGAAGCTTTTATGTTGCCAACGACCGACGAAGCCAAGATAGAGTTCCTTAAGTTACTTATGAAATAATGATTTAGCAATATGTGTTATGCTTTGACATTATGTTTTATGCTTTGACAATATGTGTTATGCTTTGACATCATGTTTTATGTTTTAACATTATGTGTTGTCCTTTGACATTATGTATTTGACATTTTATATTAGGTGTTATTGTTTGTCTTTATGTTATGTGTTATTGTTTGACATATTTTTATTTGTATTATGTAGGATGGATAGTGATGAATCTAATTCATCTAATGATAATAAAGAATGTTGGGTGGAAGAGGATAGAGAATTTGAAATGTTATGTGGGTTAGCTTTGAAAGGGATAATACTAGCTCGTAACGTACATATGCCATGTCACACTTCAGACCGCACAGGGCAAATGTTTATTTATGAAGTACTAAATGGACATCCTAGACGGTGTTATGAGATGTTTAGATTGAACGTATCGGTTTTTAGACGGTTATGCGTAGATCTTGCTACAAATTACGGACTACAACAAACCTGAAATATATCTATTGAGGAATCTGTAGGAATATTCTTGATGACTTTGGCTCATGGGTGTAGCAATAGATTTGTGCAAGAGTTTTTTAATCATTCGGGGGAAACAATTCATAGGCATTTCCATACAGTTTTGGAAGCCGTGCTAAAACTGAGTGCTGACATCATCAAGCCAAATGCAAACTATAATGATGATGTTCTTGAAGATATATTAAATAACACTCAGTATTATCAAATGTTCAAGGTATTATCCAATGTTCATTTTCTTGGTAGTCAAACTTTAACAAATGATTTATTTATGATATATTTTTGTATTTGAAGGATTGCATTGGTGCTGTAGATAGGACACACATTAGGGCATCAGTTCCATAAAATGAGGAAGCTAAGTACATTGGTCGAAAGAGATATGCAACACAAAATATAATGGCTGCTTGTGATATTTAACATGTGTTTTACATTTGTATGGGCCGGTTGGGAGAGGACTGCACATGACACAAGAATTTTCAATGAAGCCTTACAGAGACTAGATCTTAATTTTCTATATCCAGTGGGCGGTTAGTATATTTTTATTTGGAACATAAGTTTTGTATTTTTACTACTTTTTTGAAACGAAAAAAATAATTTGTTTGTTTTATTACAGATAAATATTACGTTGTTGATGACGGATATCCAAATACTAGAGGATATCTTACTCCATACAAAGACACAAATATTCGTTATTATTTACCAGATTTTCGACGTGGACACTTGGCTGCTATTCGTGAACCTCATAGACCGAAAGAGAAATTTAACTATCTCCACTCATCATTGTAAAATATCATTGAACGAACTTTTGGAGTGTGGAAAGCTAGGTGAGTGTTATTAAGAGACATGCATGTTAATTATAAGTATAAGAACCAAGTGAAAGTTGTGATAGAATCGATGACGATCCATAACTATATTAGAAAGGTTGGTAGGTTTGATGAAACATTTAATAGGGCACAACAAGAATCCTACAATCCCATATGAGCTGATACTAGTAGTGAAGTTTACGAAGAAGGTCCAAGTACACGTTGCGCGAGTGATGATGATTTACATATGGCAGCGGTGCGAGATATTATTGCACAAGATATAATCACATTGCGAAGACGAATGTAATAATATTAATGATATTTTTTTATGAATTATTTACAATTTTTATGAATGTTTTTTAATATTATCATGGTCTAATAAAAAAAACTAGGAATATTTAAAAGAAATTTATATTTTATATTTTATAATAAAATATTTACAAAATTATAATATATGTTTAAAAAATTTTGTTTATTATAAAATAGTATATGTAAATTAATAAATAATTGTAAATATATAATAAGCATCACATTTTTGGTTATTTATATTTAAAGTTAAACCAAACATTTTTTAAAAACAACTTTTAATTTTTACTTTTCAAAAACTAATCCAAACACATTTTTACAAACATTTTACAAAAAATCCTTTTATAAAAAGTATTTTGAATTCAAAAAATATCCCAAACACCTCCAAACTCACAATTTCACCAAACCACAGGGACATTTCACAGTAATTTGTTCAAATATAAAAGGTAACTTTGTACAGTGGAGTGAAATGGGCAGCGAATTACGGTGAATATAGAAAGTTAACCGGAGGATGATTAGGGTTAGAATGTCCGATGAGCACACCTTCTATTATCTCTCTGTAAAATGAGGAACCTCAAGAAATCCCAAGAAGCCGATGCAGATGATTCGTCTTCAATCAGTCGTCTACCAGATGAAATTATCCTCCAAATATTAAACAAACTAATCGATTTGAAAACCCTATGCTTTTGTTACCTGGTTTCCAAACGTTTCTCCTCGATTGTACTTCAAGTCGATGCCATTACCATTTCCTTCACTTCTCCTCTCGTAAATCCTCCCATTCCCGATAAGAACACACTCAGTGATGTTGCCCCGCTTCTGCCTAAACTTTATTCGTATTACGGTGAGTCCTTTGTATCTGCCACTAACTTTTTGAGAAAGTTCAAAGGAGTGAAGTTCTTACGTATCGAACCTCCGCCTTCCCATCGCATAGCCATTGATAACCGTTTTTTGGTCAAGTGGAAGGTTAAGTTCGGTTGCAGAGTCGAATCGTTTATATTTCTGTCTCCGAATTCAGTTTCCGATAAGGATGGATTCTATCTTTATGGAAATGGGGATGATGAAGAAGATATCGAGTTAACAATTGATTCGATTAAGCAAAGACGTCATATTTCGTTTCAGTGTCTTCGGGAGGCGAATCTGTGGCATATGATGTTGTTGGACTGCGCTAATGGTTTCCCAAAGCTGGAGGATGTCTCTATTACGGGTTCAGGGAGAAGAGAGAGGCTTTCTCTGAGTGGGGAAAAACTCATTGAGGTGAAGGCATGGTTACATTCAGCTTCGAAAACTGAGTTAGCTCGTGTAGACGTTCTTACTCAAGTGAGTGAGTGTTACATTCCTGTTTTGAAGTTGCCAGTTTCAGGGTATGTGATGAAGGGGGTATTTGTTATGGTAATGGGGATGCATAATCTCCAAGGTGGAAATGATTTTCTTATGAACAGTGAAAATGGTGGTTTTGAAGACAAAGAAGAGGCTGCATTATATACTGAAGCTGTGAAGGAGATTTTGGAGAAGCATAAGGGTATGATGCTTACAGTTGTTCATTCTCTATGAATCAGGTCCAGACTCTGAACCTCATAACAAGTAAGCTCTTCTCTTTTCCAACCATGGGAAATAATCAAGTTAACATTGTAAATTGTTTAAGTCATGTCATGTGTATAATCTTTATAACTCATGTTATGTTTATGTGTGGCATGTATTTTCAGGTAATGAAGCAAGTTGAAGTAACAACTAACAAGGGAAGGGAAGATATTAGGTTGATTGGTAGATATTAATCGATAGAAAAAGATAGATAGAATTTTTTAAACATGGGGTTATTTTTGAAGCAGAATTATCCCTAGAAAAGTAGTAACATGTTTTGGTATGTAAGTGAAACAAATCACTACTACATAACATCTATATTTTGTAAATCTATATATAGTGAAGCTTGTTCATCTTTTCTTATTTTGTGATTCTTATTATTAGGTGGTTCATAGTCCATTTACTTTCGTTTAGATAAATTATTTAAAATAAAAAGTAAAAACATTCTCATAGAGGACACAAACATCATTCATCCATTCGGTATTTTTACTTCATCAGGTGATTGTTACGGATAAAAGACCATCATGTGAAACTGTTGTCGTGTCATCTAATAACTTTTTAGAGTTTATTGCAATATATAACCTTAATCTATCATTTCTTGCATAGTTGCCATTTAAACTTCAAGAAATGAAAAAAAAAAAAAAAAAAAACACAGCGAACCCCTTTATGTAACACTTCAAGAACATTCCTAATAAGTAAACAAGAATATGTTCGTCATTCTTAGCTTCTTTGACTGTTACCTATTTTTGCCACATTTCTTTGCTTCTTTTTGACAGTTTTAGTCCTTAAGATAATACAATTTTCTTTTTTGTCTTTTTGCTCCAATATTTGACAGCTTTCCGTCTGTTCCTTACTTTTCTCGAACTTTCCATAGATTTTTTTGTTTTTATTTATTAATCACTTTTGGAACTGTTTAGTTGATTAGTCGATGACCCTTGAATTTGGAGTTGCACGCGGGTTGCCTCCTTCCATTTTCTACCGGCTTACATGGGGTTACGTGGCGTTACCATAAATCTTCCACCGCCTCTTCACTAATCTTTCACTTCTTGTTCTATCAAACTTTATCTTTTGGGGGTGTTTGGGATATATTTTTGTAAAAGGATTTTTTTTTAAAAAATGTTTTTAAAAATGTGTTTGGATTAGTTTTTGAGAAACAAAAGTCAAAAGTTGTTTTTAAAAAGTGTTTGATTTAACTTTTACATGTAAAATTACTAAAAGTTCAAAGGACTTATTGATTATGGTAGTGGTAGTTGAGGGTATATGAGTAATTTAAGTGCCAAGGCTTCAAAAGTTCCAAAAAGTCAACTTTTCCAAATGCTCATTTTCCTTCTTTCTGAAAAGTTGATTTTAAAAGATCTTTTCTTTTTCCCAAACATCTTTTACCTTATTTTTAACTTTTTGGAAAAGATAAAAAGGCTAAAAGTTGGTTCAAAAGATAAAACAAACACCCCCTCTATCTCTATTCTCCATTTTCATTGCATGTGGATTGATCGGTGAATCACATCGGGTGCTTTCATAAACCCTGCTCTCCCTCTAATAATTATCGAAAAGGGTTTCTTTCGATTATCCATCATGGGTTTTTGAGCCTTCTTCATTCCTTACTTCCTCTGTTCCCTCCTGTTTTCCCTAATTTCTTCATCCAGTCTTCTTTACCAAGTGAAAAGGAATAGGTTATAGTATCTTCCTATAATAATTTGATTTCTTGATAATACAAGTGACATAATTACTATAACATGCTCACCTACTCTAGGATGTAATTTTTATAGTTCTTCAATTCTCAATCTTGGAAATGTTGAGTTTTGAAAAAGGAAAGAGGTTGATTCGTCCGTCCTCAACAACGACAAATCCAAATTCCATCTTCAGACCACATTAGAGTTGAAGTCTTCTATTGAAGTTTAAGTTCAAATACGGATGGAATTTGGATTTGTAGTCTTCTATTGAAGTTTAAGTTCAAGATTCCTTAATCACCTATATGATATAGACATGATATCAATTTGCACACATCTATTCTTTTTCAATATATTTTCTTACTTTTGTTTTGTTATAAGTTAGATCAATTTGTGAAAAACATGTCCAACATTAGGGGAAAGATTAATGAGATTAAGAATGATACCAAATGCTAGAACAAGTGCAAACTCACCTTCAATTACATTCTCGAAGGTATATTATGACTACTAATTTACTGAATATTGTGAATTTTACTGAAACCTGAATGCCAAGTGCCGCATTTATAGGATTGTGAAGATGTGGAGTGAATAAGGGTGAGGATAAGATAAAGACTACAGGAAGAGAAGTAGTGGATATTGTTGAATTATTAAAGGCATGCAAATGGAAGAAAGTAAACAAACTTTGATATACATTCAATCTGTGAGGAGCATTGGCTTGAACCTTCTATAAGTTTTACTTCATTGTAAAGTGTAAACAATGTTTACAACTTTTTATTATTTTTAATTCTTCAGTTTTCACTCTAACGACTTGCTTGATTTTTATTCTATAATCATCGAGTTGTTAAAAAATGAACCTATCATTTGGCCAAAAGGCTTTTTGGTATAAATTATGTTTACGATTTATTTATTTTAATTCAAGTCCAAATATGTTGATCTATATAGAAAATTATAAGTAATTATAAACTACAAGTTGCGACACCACTTAATAGACAAGCCACCGAACTTTCCATTTATAAAGGACATATTCTAATGCTTTTTGAGTTTTTTGAGTCATCAAATAGATAATAATGTTATGGGGAAAGAATAAAGAGTATGTTGCTATTTCCCACATTTTTTCCTAAGTTCGCTAAGAAAGGAACAAGTGGAGGCATGGAAACCAATTGTGGATGCTTTTCACGTCAAAGGATAAGCTTTCAAAATTTTCTCGAATCAAAACTGTTAGAACAATATACTTTGAAAAGGTCTTTCAATTATAGTAATGCAGTTTAAAAAAATAGCAATGTACATTTGTTTTTTATAGCATACTACAATATATTTGACTATTATGCATTCGTGAATGAGAGAATTGTAAAGGATAGCAATGTAATTCAGACAATGTACTAGAATTTCACATAAAAGCAACACTTTCCAACCCAACCCTTCTAGTATAGATTACTCGTGGATGTCTAACATGGAAAAAATAAAGTTAAAAACTTTGATAAACTGTTTATTTAGGTAGTAAAAATGTCATGAATTTCTCTGACCATTAACTTTCTTACATGTATGGCTAATAAATTGTTCACCATCTCTAAGGACAAGAACAAGGCATTTTTCACCTAGAAAATATAGGAACATTGAATTTTAGATGAAAAGGTGAAGCACTTATAAGTCAAGGTTTTAGAAACTTTTGAGATTTGTATATGCTTCATACCATGAACCATGTAGCGTGAATTCTGTGAGAGTGTATGATTTTGTTTAGAGGTAATCAATAGCAAGATTGTGAAGACTAGTGATATGGTCGTATTTAAGTATGTATTTCGGGCCATTATCTTAATATATTGAGTAAAAATGTTATATTTTAATATATATGATAATTAATATGCTTTGAAATGTTCAGTTACAGTTAAAATGAGAGCTAAGACGCAAAAGGATGAGAACGGAGTTGAAAAAGACTAAAAAGGATGTTACTAGACAGCTTGACATCACTTCAGTGTTTTGGCCATATCTAATGACTCGTAACTCCGATTGACGATATTCAAAATGTTATGGAAAACTAGACAAAGTTTCAGAAAACTTTCATGTTTGTGCAAAATTATGATTCCCCGTTCCCACACCGTGGAAAAACCATTTCCACGGTATGGAAAATCAGAACATTCTGTGGACGTGAAGATTCCATCTCCCATGGTGTACAAAGTCTTTTTACATGCAGTGGGTTAGTGTGACATCCCCAATTTCACGGCCAGAAAAGACCAGTTTTGTTTATACTTTATTTCAGAATCAGAGTAACCTTTTAATAAAAGAATTGCGGAATTTGTCCCAAAACAATAATATGATAAAGATTTATCAAAAGCATTTTCTTAGAAATGTATTTCATTAAAAGACTTGGGATGTCATGTTCGATACAGTACATAAGTATAAACATTATATTATAAGCCTTACAACAGTTATTTACAACTAATGGCATATAATCCAAAAGTCCCTCATCATCATCATAATTATGCTCTGAGTCCACTACCTGTAAAACAGAAAGCTGAGTGGGTCAGGCTTGGGAGCCTGGTGAGCATATAGGGTTTTCAACCCACAAATAATAATAAATTTATTAATTTCATCGATCAACAATAAATTTATTAATTTCATCAACCAACAATAACCCTGATTACCCATTCTCGTTATCCTCACTTTACGTCCCTAAACACCTATACAAGGGACCTAGTTTAAGGATTTTATCATCGAGATGGACACTACTGCTAAGGGGGTTCCTCAACAATAAATGTCCTAAAGGCAACCATGAGGGGGATGGAGTACACCGGTGAACACATCGTTCACAACACCTACAGGTTGCGAGCCTGCTAACGTTCCACTAGACTGTCTAGAAGAGTCCGTGGTCGTCATCCATACTCCGCTAGATGACTGGAATAACAACAACATCGAGGCCTCTCATCATTTTAACACACATCAACTATTTTTTCTACCCATGTTCTACCTAACATATTTGTAGATAAAATATATATACAGTTTATAACTTGTATAAAACACTGTATTCAACAATCATCTCAAATAAACAATCAATATAATTACACATAACACGTATTTTATAGAAAATACTTCATATCTATGTGTAAGATGAAAGTGACTATACACTCACTTGATTTGATGATAATCGGGCAACAATTCGTTCCTTAAAATGATCGTTTCTTATAAAACCGGGAGTTTTATTGAGAAACTAGGCTCTGCGAGAGTTAGATCTTCAAAACCGAAAAGATAAAATTTTCCGGGTTTTCGGGCACTTCGGGACGTATTCTGGGCTTTAAAAATGATACCGGTGCTTTGGGGGAAGTCAAAATAGTCAAAATATAAGTTTAGGGGTGTAAAATGACAACTTTGCAATTCTAGTCGGCAAATCTCGCATCCCTCTTATTTATAGGGTGCGAGTTCGAGGGGTGATTGGTTAGGGAAGCTCCACGTAGCTGCTTGCGAGGCTCGATCACGAAGGGAGGAGATGGCTGCGAGGGAAGGAGGCGCGTGGCATCAGCGAGGCGAGACACGGAGGCGTCTACGAGGCCCGGATGTGGCTGTGCGAGGTTCGGCCACGAGGCGGCTTCTGATTGGCCGAGGCTTCGGTCCGAGGGAGTTGCGACACACGTCTGGTCCGGATTCGGCCACGTCCTCGGTGACGCAACAGCTTCGTGCAAGCTGACGTGTCCG